AGGTTAGAAAGCATCAAGGATATGGGGTCGACTTTAAACTTCAGAGATCGAAGAGATCAGGGAAGTCTTAATGATGACACCTAATATTTATTAAATACTAACTGCATGCCAAGCACACTGCTAAGTATTTTACATTGATCGCCTCCTATAATACAAGTCTTAGGAGGCAGGTAATTACATTATCTCTATTTTATGGCTGAGGAAACTGAGGCTTAGAGAAGTTAAATAACTTGAGGTTATAGTCCCTCGCTTCAAAGTGTGGTCCAAGAACCAGTAACAAAGGTTTAGAGAAATGCTGAATTTCAGGCCCAATTCCAGACCTACTGAATCATAATTTGCATTTCTAACAAGCCGCTGGGGTAATCTGGATACACATTAAAGATGAGCAGTGCTGGCCTAGCAGGTGATCTAATTCCCAGCAGTGTGTCGGGAGCTTACATTCCAAATCACTCTCCTGTTCTAACTCATAGAAAGTTAGGTGAGCTATTTTCTTCTTAAGAATGGTATAGTGCCAGTTGCTAAGAAGCTGCACTTGATATCCATGACTTCCAGGCCTGACAATCAGGCCACAGTCAGCTCTTAGGGTGCTAAGGCTTAGGAGATGGCAGGCAGCAAAGTCAGTACCAGGAATCTGACCCATGGATCTGTCCCACCAGCCCTGCCATTGCTTCTCTCCTGGCCCCGAACCTGTGCATGGCCTGCATGCGCAGCCCCTCCTCGATGCTGGAGCTCAGTGCCTGCTGGTTGTGCAGGCGGCTGAGACGGATGAGTACCCGGTCTTGGTGGGCCTCATATTCCTCCCGGCTAGGATAGATCTTCGAGATCAGGGCATCAAAATTAGGGTCTGGTCGCAAAGACCGCTTGGAAACCAGCTTCTTGCGGCAGGTAGGGCACTCCTTGTTCCTGGGATGGGAGAGAGGAGGCCCTGAGCAGTCAGTCACCAGGGCATTGAGGCCTCAACTCTGAACCTTTTAACCCATCTCGAACGAGTCCCTCCTATTACCCGCTCCGCAGGGCCGTGACTATGCAGTCGGAGCAGAATCGGTGGAGGCACTCCTTGGTGGTCATTGTATTCTTCAGCATGTCCAGGCAGATGGGGCACATGAGTTCTGAATGCAGCGACCGAGGGGAAACTGCAATCTCTGTGCCATCCATGATGGCTTCCTGGAGGCATCAGTGAGTGGAAAGGTGGTGGTGGGTTGGGGGGAAAGAGTTTTAGAAATAAGTGGTAGGCCCTGGCTGGGTATCTAAGTTGGTTAGAGCATTGTCCTGATATGTCAAGGATGCAGGTTTAATCCCCAGTCAGGGTACATGAAAGAGTCAACCAGTGAATGTATAAATAAGTGGAACAACAAATTGATATTTCTCTCTCTCTTTTTTCCTCTCTCTCTAAAATCAATAAATAGCCCGGCCTGTGTGGCTCAGCGGATTGCCTTTCCATTCTCAGAGCACATTCCCAGGTTGAAGGCTCCATCCCCAGTAGGGGGCGTGCAGGAGGCAGCTGATCAATGATTCTCCTCACTGATGTTTCTCTCTCTCCCTTCCTCTCTCTGAAATCAATAGATATATTTAAAAAAATAATAAAATAAAACAAATAAATAAAGAGGGGAAAAAAGAAACAGGTGGTCCACGAAATAGGAGTTTTGAGAAATACATTGAGATGGCAGAATCTGGGTACCCCATGTTGGTTACTTGAGAAAGATGGGAATCTGAGAGAAGGAGCTACTGATTTGGAGGGAATAAAGAACAGAAAGAATTAATGCCCCTTAAGTAAGAGTAGGAGCTTTGCAACAGGGAGATCTGAGGTTTGGAGACACCTGGGGGTGGGGGTGGCACAGATTTGCGGCTTGGGGAAGACTTATTGAACAGAACTACTTAAAGTGGTCCTGGTACTACCTATATCAGATTCTGGGGCTCCATCCCATTACTGTATCAGAACGTTGTTGGGGGGCAGGGCAGGGGCGGTTTGCAGAACAGAAAGCTCCATTTTCAATAAACTCCAAAGTGAGTCTTACAGGCACTGATCTATGACATTGAACTGTTTATTACCTTTCAAAAGAAGGCAGTAATATTTGCTCTACCTCTCTGGCTGTTTTGAGAATTAAATGTGAAAGTGGTTTGAAAAGCTTAAAGCGATTCAAAGGTAGGGCTAAGGGTTGGTAGAAGGGGGCAAAAAATGGAAAAGAGGCTGTGAGAGGGGGTCCGTGGAGAGAGGAGCTTGGGGGCAGCGAGGGGGTCCTGTCACCTGCGGGGTCCGGTGGAGCTCATACAGACTCAGTTCCCACGTTTTGCTGGCGTTCTGGGCATTCGCCGGCGTCGTCATGGTGACCGAGCGCGGACCCCCGCCGGGGCTCCTCGGCAGAGGAGGAAGAGGGGTGGGCTGGGGAGAGGGGGAAGGGAAGGGACGGGGTTAGGGCCCCTCACGCAGAC